GTGGAACCGGGGATTGAACTTAGGCCCTTGTGCTTGCCAGGCAAGCACTTATTCTACTGAGCCATCTCCCCGGACCAGCATCTTTATTTTAAAAGTAGTTAACAACCAATATAAATGTATGAGAAGGGACAGCCAGACAGCTCAGTGGACTAAAGTGTCTGTTTAGGTACAGGGTTCCATCCCGTGTGCCAAGCTGGCCCCGCCCATGGAGCGCACTGAGACAGTGACTGAGACTGGGCATCGTGGTACACACTTGTAATCCCAGTGCTTGGGAGGCTGCAAAACAGGACTACAAGTCCAACCTATGTAGTGAGACCCTGTAGACCCTCTAGACCTTGTACTAAATACATAAAAAAGAATGTATGAGATTTATATTGCTCTGAAATTCCTTACAACATTCAACTTAAAAATAAGCATTTACTTTAACAATTATAAACAAAATTGTATCAAAAATATCAATACCTTAATGGACATATTTTTAGTGCACAAAAATTTTCATTAAAAAAATAAAATCCAATGAAAGGATCAAAGAGGATCCTTAAAAGAAACAAACTCCAATAAAAGAAGGCCCAACCAATCCACCCTGCAGTCTCCCTGCTCTTTCATAACCGTACTACGTGTCATGTACAGCAGCCCCTACCTTGCTGAATAACTGTCTCTCCGGCAATAAAGGGGACGGGAAACATGGCATCAAAGATATCACTGCAAGGGACAGAAGGTCCGCGTTAAATTCCCGAGTCTTCTCTCTGCAGCTCCATTATTAACCGAGAAGTAAAGCCCCCAGATTTTCAGCTCAGTTATCATTTGGTAAACTAAGAGCCTTAAAACTTGCAATAATGCCAACAGCAGTTTGAGACTGTACCCTGATTGTAAAAAACACCATAAAAAGAACCAGTTCTTACCTTCTTTCGTTATCATCAAGATGAGAGAACAGAACATTTTTTTCAATGGCTTTGGCTAAAGCAGCCATCGTCTTATAATCTTTGGGTATAACCTAAAAGAGAATTGAAAGTAAAATGACAATTCCATACACCAGGGCGGGGAGATAGCTTGGTAGAATAAGTGATTCCCTGGCAAGCATAAGGGCCCAAGTTCAATCCGCGGTTCCACAAAAAAAAAAAAAAAAAAATCAATTCCATACACCAAAATCACTTCAAGTTTGCAGGCTGAAGCGCCGGCCAAATAGCTCAGATTAAAGCGCCTGCAAGCTGGCATAGGGGCCAAGGGTTCAATCCCCAAGCCTGACATGCCAGTCTCACCCCTGGGGTGTGCTGAGACAGGACTGAGCCTGGGCATGGTGGAGCGCACCTGTAATCCCAGCTCTTGGGAGGCTGTAAACAGGCGGATCACTGTGAGTCCAATCTAGTAATGAGACCCTGAATACCCTGTAGACCCTTCCCTAAAATACATAAATAAATATAAAAAAATAAAAGATTGCAATCTGCATTCCAGTTAAATGTCAGGCCACATTATAGTATTGAAGGAAGACTGACCTGAGTTAAGTACTTTCACTATAGCCACTTAGACGATCTTTGACTTACAAAGTACTCAACAAATACTAACTAATCAATCCCTTGGTCTACACTTAAAGGCCAGTACTTGGTTCCTAGCTAACAACTAAACAAAAAACAACTGACCAACACCTTTATTCTGAGGCAAAACTAAGTTGCTTCAATTTTGCCTTTGTGATACTGCGGACCAGGAGCTTTGTACTGAGCTAAATCTGCAGTCATTTTTATTTTCTTGGGGGCATAATATTGGGTTACAAAAACCCATCTCATACTTTTCTACTGTAAATTCATGCACTAGCATAACTGAAGTCGGCTCTGGTCTCCGTAGCTGTGCCGGGGGATACAGGAGCAATCTTTGTGTTTACCCACTTGGTACAAGAACAGCAAGATGTATGCCACGAGACAGCCCAGTGGACTAAGCGCCTGCATAGGCAAGTGCAGGGACTGAGGTTCAATCCCCAGTACCACATGCCACGTCAGCCCTGACACAAGTGTCAAACCAGGATTTTTAGCCACATAACCCTCCATCTATGAAATCACAAGAGGCAAAATACACTCACACCACTCTTATGTCGTGAAAACATGTATTTCACCATAATGGAATGTGGTATGAATCACAGTAACTGTGCCTGGGGAAAGCAAAACGCAGCTGAGTATTTACCCCTCGGCACTCAGGGGACATGTGGCAAGGCATGTGCAGGAGCTCCAACGCAGGAACAGGTGAGTCTGACCCATGAAATGCTGTTTACTGTTAAGTTTCTGTGCATTAGGATTTGCTTTATTTATTTTTAATGTATTTGATACAGGGTCTCACCATGCAGCTTGGACTGTGATCCTCCTGTTTTCAGCCTCTCCAGTGCTGGGATTACAGGCATGCACCATTATTCCCGGTCTCGGTAGCCAGCTCAGCACACACAGGCAGGGCCAGTGAGGCCTGTGGTGCTGGGATTGAACCCTGGTCCCCTGTGCTTGTCTAAGCAGGTGCTTAGCCAGTTGAGCTATCTCGCCAACCCAGGATTTGTTCTCTCAAAGTTTTCTTTTGATTTTTCTGGTATAAGTAACACAGTTGAGTACAATGCCACATGAAAAGCCAGATCTGCAAGTTCTGAAAGATGGTGAAACTGAACCATCACATTACTCATGCATGAGAGATGATGATGACTTTGTTGTTGACCATGTGAGCCAAAGTTCCAGCGACAGTGAAATGGAACAAGAACCAACGGGTACAGACCCAGGGAATCCAGATCACCTTGATTCACGAAGGAAAGAGCAACGTGAGCATATATCTGACTAGTCAAAATGGTCACATAACCAAATGGAACAGCTCAATACCTGAACCTGAGGTCCAAAAATATGGTGAGGATCTTGGCAGGGGTGAGAGCTACTGGATAAAATGCCAGCACTGGTATTCAATATTGGAAATCATTTTTTGATAATTTTTAATAGTGACCATGAAATGCTACAAGATATCATGAAATACAAATGATGACATACAAGCAAAACGTTCTGTATGAAGCAATAGGCATACTCAAAAATGTATTTATTGTGACACCTCACTACTGAGCTGAAAGCATTCATAGGTCTGCTGTACTTCGCAGAGATTTCTCATGGCCATTACAACAATGCAAAAGACCTATGGAAAAGCAAGGGGTGTGGGCTTGAGGTCTGCAGACTAGGTGTAATGTTAACGGATAATTTGACCACTATACTGCCATCCACTCACTGAGAGATTTATGAGTAACTGAACAGTTTATACACAATCTGAGTACACGTCTACTGAGAAACATCTTGCAGCATTTCATGGTCGCTATAGCTTCAGGCAGCATACACCAAAAACCTCCAAAATATGGCATAAAGATTTATGCCCTTATACATGGGAAGACTTACGCTTTCAATTCAGAAATCTACTCTGCAACTCTGTCACCAGACCCTTATTCATAGGGCATTAAACCAACGATGCTATGAAGGCTTGTTTCTCCCGCACCCAGTTTATCAGAACGTGACATTCATCAGTTTCCGAATGATGTTGCATCTGCTAACAGAGCACTAGTTGACCACAGTAAGAACTGTACGCAGGAACAAAGCAAAAATTCCAAATGAAATGCTACAATTTCAAAACAATTATGTAGTACAATCTTTGGATTTTAAAAAGATTTAAACCACCTCATCTACGGTACTGCTGCTGTCAACGCTGCACCATGGTGGAAATATCAATAGGAAAACCTCGGCAAAAGGGAAGTATGAGATGGTAACTTTCTACAAAAAGCAAAGGTAAAGAAAGTGTTGAAGAATTATGCAGCAACTACGACGTCATTCAAAACACAAAGCATTTGGCCCATCGTTGTATTTTACTCAATCCTAAACATATGGCAAAATACTGTGACAGTTTACAAAGAAAATAAAAAGTGCAAGATACCACACAGGAATTTTCTTAGAAGACTGGGACTGGACCTCATAGGAGCTCATTTATAGCAGAAGAAAACAAAATGTTTCTGTCCAAGGAAAACAACTGTGGCTCACACTGGTGAGCTGACGGATGGACAGTCAGGCACAGCATCACAAAAAATTAGTGACAAAAAACAAGATGTCAACTGTGCCCTACAAAAAAGGACAGGAAAGTAAAACACGTGGTTATCAGTGGCAATACTTATGTATGGACCATGCAGTTGTCATGGGTGAACACAGCCTTGCGTGTGTCAGTTGAAGCAAAGATTACTTCTGCTATGGAGGTCTACTGGTATTTTCATTGTACTTCATGCAGCAATTTATTTCCGAAGTTATCTTTTAGGTTTTGTAAGCAAGTGCACAGCTGATGTGAAAATGCTGAAGTTCATTCTAAAGATGCAATACATATTAAGAACACTTCATCTTACTGATACTTTATGCTCCTGTTAACAACACATTGTGTAAAGCAGTAAGAATCCTCTGATGAAACAGCAAGACCAGCAAGTCCAGTACGTCCTACGAAAAGGCCAGGAAAGCAAAACACATGTGCTAGCACGGCAAGCAGTACATGCGGACAGAAGGTGCTGCAGTCATGTGTGAAAACGCCACAGGTGTGACAACTGAAGATTTGTTGTACACTTCTACTGGTGTTTTCATTGTGGTTCATATTAGAAATTTATTTTTGTTGTTATTATATACCACAAAGTCCCCTTGTGACAAAATTTGGGTTATGCCGCACTTAAAACAGGGTCTCACTGAGTATACCAGGCTGGTCTCAAGTTTAGGATCTTCCTACCACAGCCACCCAAGTGCTGGGGCGAAAGGCAGGCGCCACTGTGCACAGCTAAACTAAGTATTTTTTAAACTACTATCTTCTGGTATTGTTAGTTTTAAAAGCGCCAAGGCTTAGAATTGTGCTCCCCACCGCCCTTCCAAGGCTAGTAGTATAACGCAAAATGGCCAGCTGGATCTGAAAATAAGAGATCACAAAGACTGTATGATAAAATGTTAAGAGTCGCACATGAGCCGGGGAGATGGCTCAGTGGAATAAGTGCTTCCCTGGCAAGCACAAGGACCTGAGTTCAATCCCCGGTTCCACCAAAAAAGAAAAAAGAGTCGCACATGAATTACTGTACAGAGTAGCAAACAACTAATACCAGAATTAAGAAAAAAAGGAGTAATGCCTACTTCTCCAAATGCAAAACAGCAGGAATGACAAACCTCCAAAATGTAGCCAAGTACTGCACTGGTTTATAATCACTATTAGTTATTTCCTCTGCTATCACGCTATTACAGAAACCTAAGGACTGGCCAGACAGCTCAGCAGACACAGGGACAGGGGACGGCATGCCGTCCCAGCCCCGCCCCAGGCACACTGAGATGGCAAATGAGACTGGGCCTGGTGGCACACACCTTAATCCCAGCACTTGGGAGGCTGAAAACAGGATGATCACTGCGAGTCTGATCTGTGTAGTGAGACCTTGTAGGCCCTATACTAAAATACATGTTTTTAAAGAAGAAATCTACTCTTCAATAACTATGTTTGCCTTTATCTGAAGTAGTACATATACTCATCAAAGGAGACTAGATTGTCAGGGGGAATCCCAAAAGCGTATCTCTAATGTTTAGAAAATGATCAGAAAACCACCTTTCTGACATACGATGCAGCATCCTCCTCCGTATAGACTTCCGCGCTGATGGCACCACGTCGCCGGCGCCCCTTCACCACCGGGTTGGGAGGGGGGGGAGAGACTTCATCCTCTCTTGAGTCTGTACGGGTGCCCGCTTTCTGCAGATTCTGAATCTGCTTTGCCTCCTCCTGAAAGAAATGAAGACGTATAAAGTAAGCTGCCTCAGCATGCGTGCATGAGGTCAGCATTTGTGTACTACAGTGACTGTCCATCACAAAGCACTTCAATCTCTGCATCTAGTGCCAATAAAGAGAAAATGCCAATTCCAGGTAGAGACAAAACAGAAATAAGTTTGAAAAGATTCTTGCACAACACATTTCTTAGATAACAGATTCAGTACATTCTAATAATCAACAGAAGCCATTAGCATAAGAACAGAACATCAATAAAAAAATTAATGTTCACTTTAATAATGCATTGGCAGCAAAGATTCATGATGCAAACACCAAGAGAAAATTAGGGCTTTATACTGTAAAACAAATTCTGGGAATTAGGGGTTTTCTTAGTAAGAGACAACCCCCCCTAAAAAAGTTAAACCAACAATAGTAACTCAAGCAACTTAACGTAATCCAAGAATATCCAGATTACTGAAGTATTTCATTAATTCAATGAGCATTTTCTGGATTTGCTATGCCACACCTGTGCTAGGGAATGGGAATATAAACACGGACAGGAAAAGGTCCAGTGCCTACACCATTCACGTTCTAGCCTGGGTCACAGACAGAAACAAACACAAGAGTTACAGAAGACTACGAATCAGTTTAGCAATGTTCCTCCATTAAAGCTGGATACATTCTTCATTATCAGGGTTCACAACTGAAATTAAAAGAGTAACCTGTCTTTAAAAAGTTCCCTATCAAAACATTTTTTTCAAATCTAACGCCTTAAAAATCGTATCAATTACTGCTATACTCTCTCTCAAATAAATGTTTTTTTTTTTAAAAAAAGGTAACGAATGAAAACAAGAGACAAGAAAAAAATGTCATAGGACTGTCCTGCTACATTATTGTATATGGTTAGATTTTTAAATTTCTGTGTAAAAATTTGTAATTCTTTCTTTTTTTCTTAATTTTTTCATTTTTTCATTTTGTTTTCACTTTTTGTATGGATTTAAAGTTTAGCCTATCAAAGATGGGCAGAAAATACCTGTTCCATGTTATGTCTACTGCATTTGATATTCAGACAGATACTGACGTTTAGCTCAACAGCCTGTTTTACAGTAACAATATTAAGATTCTCTTCTGGAGGATTAACAACTTAAGTTTGCAGACCAAAAATTAGAGAAAAAAAAAAGGCTACAAGGAAAGCCAACACTGTGGCCCTAGCCATTCAAAGTCAATGAGGACTCAGGACATAAGAGAACCGGTACGGTAACATCCTGTAACTCAGTGGTGTCCCAAATTTTCTGTTCAGGGAGATTATGGGGCCAGAGAGCAAAGTGATCGACGATGTAGTGTGTGCCTAAGGAGAGTGACCTGCAGAGAAACCTTCCTTCAGGCTTTCACAGAGAGCGCATTGGTCAAGCAATGGCCGTGACTCATCTACATGGCTGACACTGACAAAAGATCTACAAACTGCAGTACAGCGTTTCAGGGTTAAGTTCTGAGGGAATCTGACTGACCTTGTCAGATACAAAAGTTACATTTCTATTGTGGACTACTGGACTATATTGGATTATTTTGGTGAATTCATGCACCTACAATGTATGAATGGCAATGGAATACCCACCTCTGACAAAAGTAAACAAAAAAGGGGAAATAAATGAAGGACCATTTTGTAGTGATAAAATATATATACATGTATCTGTATATACAGAGTAGTTAGCAAAGATATACAGCTACTTTCTCTTATATAAATTGGTGTGAAGGCACCGAGTTCAAACCCCAGCATCACAAAAAAGTGACAAGTTTTTGAACTAATAGTGTTTAGGCAAAATATCTTGTCTGCATCTTGTACTACGAATAACTACTACAAAGACAAGAATATGCAAAGTATTATTATAACTGCCCTACTAACCTGTTTTGAAACTGTCTCATTGCTATCTTTCTCAATAAAGTAATATAAAAAAATTTAAAAAGCCTTAAAAAGAAATCCCTCGGGCCGGGGAGATGGCTCAGTAGAATAAGCTAGCAAAAGGGGCTGAGTTCAATTCCCGATTCCGCAAAAAATAAATAAATAAATAAAAAAGAAAAAAGAAAGAAAATCCTTCTCAGTAAAGAATACATTATTAAGTCTGAAATAAAACGGAATAAGAAACACATAACTTCTACTTTTCATTCACTGGCCCCACTATCCATTATTTTTCTAAACCATATTTAAAGTTATAACTGAACTCAGCATTTAAAATGAGCAGAATAGGACCAGGGAGATGGCTCAGTAGGATAAGTGCTTGACTGGCAAACACAAGGATCTGAGTTCAATCCCTGGTTCTGCCAAAAAAAAAATAAATAAATAAATAAAAATAAAATAAAATGAGCAGAAGGGCCAGCCAAATAGCTCAGCAGATTGGCGCAGGGTGCAGGGTCCAGGGTTCGATCCTGGGCCATGCCTTGCAGGCCCTACCCCCAGGGTGCGCTGAGACTGTAATAAGAGACTGGGCGTGGTGGTGTGCGCCTATAATCCCAGATCTTGGGAGGCTGTAAACAGGTGGATCACTATGAGTTTGATCTAGTAGTAAGACCCTGAACACCCTGAAGACCCTTCCCTAAAATACAAAAAAAATAAAATAAAGTGAATAGAAAAAATAAGGTATTTGAGATGTCAGAGACTTTTGGGGGGGCACTTTTTTGCGATATTGGGGTTTGAACTCAGTGCCTTCACACTAACCTATATTCTCCATTCTTTAAAAAAAAAAAAAAATTACTTATTTCAAGACAGGGCCCCTAAGTTGCCCAGAATGCGCTGGAACTTGACATCCCCATTTCAGCCTCCCATGTACATGCAGCCCCTGGCCCTGTTTTTGGCATCAAGACAAACATACAACTTCTACTGCACATATTTAGCAGCCTAGAATGACAACCATCTATTGTGCTAGCAGTGTTCACTGCTATTGGCAGAAGCAGGCCTGGTTTTCTCTTGGTTCAGAGAGAAGTTCCTTCCCTCTCTCTGTCTTTTCCCATGCTGGAGCCAAATCCAGGGCCTCTGCACTGAGCTGCATCCCAAATACAAAATTTTAAAATTCTGATAAGTGCCCAGGCGGGGCTCAGAACTTGCAATCCTCCAGCCTGAGTGTCCCAGAGTGCTGGGATAACAGTTGTGCACCACTATACCCAGCTCAATTAGGAAAAAACATGCAACAAAAATAACTTTCATCCAATTGTATGTATCTAATTGCAACTGTATTTACTACTTTCCCCTCGTCTTTAGTGGTCCTGGGGACTGAACACAGGGTCTTCCCTGTGCTCTGAAGTATATCCCCAAAAACTTTTTTTTTATGTTGCGATGTAAATAAATTAATAAACTGCCCAGGCGTGGCTTGAACTTGCAATCCTCCTGCCTTAGCCTCCCAGGATTACAGGACCGTACCGTGCCCAGTTCGTATTTACTCAGCCACAGCTACGGCTGCCGCTCCTCCCTTTTCGCTCTTGCTGTTTTGGTGTTGCCCTGTCATGTGCCACCCTGCCTTGAAGCCAGCTGAGTACAGACCTAAACCTTCACAGACTGTGAGCTAAATAACCTTTCCTTCCCTTAAAATAAAAAAGTAATTCTGCATCCAGAAATTTATTCTAGAATATACACATACATAAAGTACACACAAAAATCTGTTCTTATGAGTGAAACATTAGAAGCACCAAAATGTGATCAGTAGGAATGACTAGATACAGTATGGCCGCACCATGTAAGGTCATGTGAGTGTTAGAACAGGAACCTTTTTGATGTATCAATTTATCTATAAAAGCTCACATAATATCCTCCAAACACTGGCTGCTTCCAATAAAAGTAATTGGGTAGAAAGAACTTTTGTGGTTACACCTTTTTGTATCTGCAGAATTGTGAACATGTACAGTATGTAACTTACTAAAAACATTTTTTAGAAAACCACTTTATTTTCATCCTGATAGTTATAAATTAATGTTTCCCTATTCCTTATAAAACAGAACTATAAAACTCAAGTCTCCCCCAAGTTTAAAGAGTACAAAAAAACACACATATTTTACCCTTTGAATTAAATCTGTCATTGGCATTTCACAAAAATTTCATTAAAACTCACAAATCTCACTTGGATCTGTATTTTACTTAACTGACTTTCTGAGAATTGTGAAGGAACAGAGACGTTCTATGTTAACAGTTTCCTGAGTGATGAGTCAGTCTGATGTAACCTCACCCACTCTGAGCACCTTTTCCCTACCCTCCTTCTCTCTGCTGTTTGGCATCAGTCCCGCCCTCCAGCTCTTTCATTTAAAACACAAAACTGCAGTGCGCTCCCTCGTTAATCATGCTCTTGACTCCCCCATCACGTTCCCAACCCACATCCGCACTGTGCCCGCAGCCTGCTCACGGTCACACACGCATGTTTTTCCTCCTTGCCCTTGCACGCTGCAGCAGGGGAGGCAAACGTCCGGTGACCAGCTCTGGCAGCTGAAATCCCCAGCATTAAAGCTGCTATCTGTCCTTCCGCTCCCCCCCCCCAGCACTTCACCTGAGGCACCTGTCCCTTTCCCTGCCTGTAGAATAGCATGCCCTATATACTGGCCTTTCCTTCTGCTCAACCCCACAACACGACCTGTGGAATGAAGACAACAAAATGGCCTGAGCCCAAACAAGCTCTATATGACCAAGAAATGCAGGCTGGTGGCCAAGAAATAAACCTCTGAAATTGGAAGTTCTCATGCTACAGCAGTAGCGGCCCACCACGCTGCTGTCTAACTGCAGCCCAGCGCTTCACTCCCTCTGCCTCTACCCCCTCCTGCTGTACAAAGGTGGGAACTGCTGACCTCCCAAGTCTGAAGGAAGTCTGCATGCACGCCCAGAGCTGCACACAGTACCTGGCATGCAGGAGACGCCCATGGGAGGCAGTTATCATAATCTTCTGATCTACCAGGCAGGTGAGGGTCTAGCACATACACACACATACATACACACATAGGCACTCAGAGGCCAGACAACGGCCTGACTTAAAAAGCAGTAGCTTTCAACAGACAAACTGAGAGCCTTACAAACGTGTCTTATGGAGTAAAGGATCCGGTGTGGTGATCCCTGAATACTAGGGAAAGGGGTACTAAGATAAACCATGGCCTGGTAAAAACTAAAAATCTAGTTATGTGAAAGTTCTAGTATAAGTATTCAACCTTAGTTAAAAGAATGGAAACAAAAGTACATTAAGCTATAATTTTTATGAGAGATATTTCTTAAAGGCCAACACACATTAAATCTAAAAATCTCATCTGCAAAGAAACTGCCCTAATGACCAGTTCTTGCTTTCCACCTTGGCCAATCCTTAACAGTCCTGGGGTAAACACAGGCTTCGAAACTAGCACCACACATTCAACACTCCCTATAAAAAGACACACGCTTAATGTCTCACCAACTTAATCCCCTCACTTGATGATTTCTATTGATGTCCAAAGAAGAAGGATCACCTTACAGTGACCTATTTCAGAACTAGATCTCCAGGAACGCACTTGATTTCAAAGCAGGGAATACTTGGTGCCTGGCTCTACAGCGCTTCCACTATTTGGAAGCTGCTTAAATAAAAGAAAGCCAGAATTTGTACGACTCCAATGCACCAAGCAGATATTCATAGGGACTGGTTAGTACTTTTTTGTTTTTGTTACTTTTAATTACTCTAGTCATAGTATTGAATATCAATTTCAGTAGTTTTCAGGGCAAGAGAAAATACCAGCTCACTAATCCAGCAAGCATTTTTTAAATCTCAGTGTGCCGATTCAATCACTATTAGCTTATAAGAAATTGCTCAAACACCTGTTGCTATTATACAAGTAGATAATGAGCACGAATCAAAGAAATATCCCTCAACTGGGGCCGGGGAGATGGCTCAGTAGAATAAGTGCTTCCCTGGCAAGCGCAAGGGTCTAAATTCAATCCCTGGTTCCACCAATAAAAAAAAAAAAAGAAAGAAATATCCCTTAACTAATTCATGATTATTATGTATTTATTGCACTGATTTACAAAAGCAAATCAAATACTCAAAACATTTCATGACCCACACCCTTTAATTCATTTCATTTTTTTTTTAAATATTTATTTATTTGTGTGTGTGGCCAGCTCAGCCCACCAGGGGGCGGGGCTGGCTGGCATGTGGTGCTGGGGGATTGAACCGCGGTCCCTGTGCTTTGCTAAGCTTGTTCTAAGTAGGTGCTTTAGACCACTGAGCCATCTCACCAGCCCATCATTTCTGAGATAAGCAAAATGAATCACAGTTCTGATGCAAAATTTTCATTTTCCCTAGAAATGGAGATCACACATACAATGATGAAAAAGAGGAAGAACAAGTCCTAACCAAACCTACAGGATGAAATCTTGACAACCATCAATCTTGTATCTCCTGAGTTAATTCATCTAGATATACTCTACAATCTATAGTAAAGCAACACTTCATTAACTGAGAATTCTGACATACCTGTCACAAGCTAGAATCAACTATTTAATGACACTGGTTTTAAAAAGTAAAATAAGTTTGCTTGCTTTGTTGAAGGTAAGCAATAATTACTACTTCTGCACTATTTCTGATCAGTTTTATCTGTTACAGTTACTTTTATACATGAATTAAAAGTTACAAGGAACATACCTAGAAACCCTTTATCAGTCAGAATAAACATCATACAAATACATTTTCTGATAAACTGTACTTGTTCTGAACTTTAAAATTACACAAATACCTAAACTGCATGGGGGGCAGGTTCTCCCTACATAGTTCTGGCTGGCCTCAAACTCACAGCAATCCTCCTGCCTCAGCCTCCCAAGTGTTCAGATTACTGGCATGAGCCACCACAGCTGGCTTAACTGTATTTATCTGAATTTTTTCCCAAATTCCTTGGGCAGAAATCTTTTCCTTCCAAAAGGTACAAATCAACAACATTCCAGATTGTACATTTTAACAACTGTTGGGGTCCTCCCGCCAGGTCCCACTTGCACCGTACCTTCTCCAGCCTCTCGAAGTACTCCCGAAGGAAGGCCATGGGCCTCTCAGGCCGGGCAGTGCACAGTTGCACGATGGAGTCCTTGAGCAGGGCCTGGATGTTGTGCTTCTGGACATAGAGCTCGCACTCCCGGAGGCTGCGCTCCTCCTCGCTGGCTGCGGTGCTGCCGGACGCCATGGTTCTCTGCGGGAACAAGCACATGCACCTTGTGAACCATCTGCACGCACAACCAATTAGGCAACTGACCTGGAAATCCTCTCCTCCTTAACAGCTGATAGGCAGCAAAACAGCAAACCTTGCAGTCTTCCAAGTAAGTGTTTCATTGAGATCCTGCGCAGGATCTGGGCTCTGCCAGCAACTGGGCCAGGCAGCATCCTCGCCCGCTCTGCAAGGCAGGCTGCCTGCCGAGGAGTCAGGCCCTTCAGGGAATTTCATTCTGTTCTCTCTCGCAAAAGAAATCACGATGACGTGGGAAATGTGTAAATGGTAAACAGGACAGAGAATTACAAGGGCACACAAGTCAGCACTAAGCAAAAGCACCGCAGTACAATGAAAAACATCTGCCTGCCGAGCCCCTTGGAAGCTCCCATCCCACCGGCACTTCTACTCTCATCACGAATCACCAGCCAAGGAACTGCTGGCCAACTATTGGTATAAGCAAACTTTTACCCTGAAATCTCTTAGCAGATTCCAGCCCTAAGTGATACTTTGTGATGTTTGCCAGTGACAGGAGAAAATAAAAGAAAATCCTGCTGTGCAGGGGAATAAATCTTTTTTTAATTTTTTACCTAAAAATGTCAAAACATCGTCTTCATCTGGACAGGAAAAAATTAAAACACGTTTCAAGCCTACATAATGAATCAACAAACTACATTTAACAGAACATAAAACTTGCTAGAAATAAATAAAAATACAATGATCAGCAGCTAACCTTTCCCCAGAATTAAGAATTTAGTAATTTCACTGGGCTCACTCATATCCCATTTTCCTTCCAACTTAAGAAGTGTGCTCCCTTCCACTCTGGAACCAAATACGGTAAATATCCATTTTTTATATTACAGTTTACACAAAACTAAGGTAAAGAGCACTTAAGAAACAAATAGCTGAATCAAGAGCTTTTCTAAACACACTATTACTCTATTTTGACAACTTTCATGACAAAGGTCACGGGCTAGTTTACAGACCGTGAGAAAGTTTGGGGCTCCATGACAAGCACATAAATTAAACGGCACAGAAAAACAATCACGCTGCTACTTGACAAACACTTAAAAGTTTATAAACCTCAGACTTACACTAGCCACTTTTCTAGAACAGGTAATCATGAAATGAAAAACCACTTCAGTAGAATTATCTGCATTTCAAATAATTCTGAAAGCCACCAAGAACGAAAAGATGAATTAGGGTTTCTTATACTTCAGAAACATCAATACATGCATTCAACTGATCAGAGATATTCTAAGATCAGATCTTTGGCAATGATTAGTGTGTCTAAGAGATAAAAGTGGTTTATTTTGTTTGAAACTACTGCGTTGCAAAAAAAAAAAAAAAAAAAGACATAAAGACAGCCAATGAACAAAATATGCTCCAAGACCAATAGCGTCATCCTGTGACCCCCTGGTCGACATTTCAAGGCCTTAGTATTCGTGAAGAAAAATACCTACATTGATTCTGTATTTGTACTTTGGGCCCATCAACGTCTTCCTCCCCGCTCCTCTCCCAAAAAAAATTTGTGACTGCAAATTAAAAATCGTGACTAATTAAAGCAAAAGTAAGTCACCACGTATGTCCATTCTTTTTTTTAAAAAATATTTATTTATTTTTATTTATTACATTTATTTATTGTGTGTGTGTGTGTGGCCAGCTCAGCCCACCAGGGGGCGGGGCTGGCTGGCATGTGGTGCTGGGGATCGAACCGCGGTCCCTGTGCTTTGCCAAGCTTGTTTCAAGTAGGTGCTTTAGACCACTGAGCCATCTCTCCAGCCCCTGTCCATTCTTAATAATAAGAAATCACTCAGATTCTTTTCTAAAATCAATGATCATAAAAATCTGGCTTAAAAAGAATTTACGGAATTACGTTTGAGAGGGTAACTGGTCCTGACTCCGATCGCACCCCAACTAACCCTGAACGCTACCTGCAGGAAGCGAGAGCTTTCTTCCCTTTGCTGAAAAAGAACGCAATCCTCAACTACGTGGTGTGCAGGCTGGCAGCGCGCACGCAGCAGCCGGAAGGGTTACAAGGCACCGCGTAGATTTTCGAGAGGAAGGACAGGAAAGTGCCCTTCACTTAGGCCACGGTCAGGGCCACAAAATGAAGCGAGCCGACCCCTCGTCGGGCGCTCACAGAAAGCGTCCCCGCGGACGCTGGGCAGGGGGGAGGGGCACCAGGAAAGGAAGCTAAATGCGACAAAGGAAATCCAGCCAGACGAAGAAGCCGTGTGGGCGGCGGAGAGGGAAAGTGACTGCCGGGAGCGACGCGCAGACGAG